AATTATTACTCCTTAAATAATGTTGCGTGGGTAAATAAACAATTGTTATTGATTGTTATTGTTGGTTGGGGAAAGCGTTCATCCTACGCCACGCAATAGTGATGAAGATGCTGTGAAGAGGACTAGGAAAGGGTCACCAAAAGGTTTGCTTATATCTATGGCATTCTGTTGTGGACAAAAACATGTCAAAGATGAAAACGTGTTGAAAAACACAATACATAAGTCGAAACTGACAAAAAAATCAAAGGTAATAAAAAATATAGTACGAGATTTGCAAAATATATGTTGACTTATGAATGGATATAACAAACAGGTGTTGTGCCAAAAAAAAAAAAAATGAGTCAAGAGAAAAAATGCAAGTTGACTAAACAACAAAAAAGTGAGTTGAGAATGAAAGGCTGACCAGTTGTCTTGCCAGTGTCAAGATTTGAAATCTCATGTTTTTTTAGGCATGACATCTCTTTAGTATTATATCGTTAGTCAACATACACTTTGCAAATCTTGTACTATATCTTTTATTACCTTCAATGTATTTTGCAATTTTCGACATACATTATTATGTTTTTTAACATGTTTTTATCATCAATGTGTTTTTGACCACAACGGAACACCATATATATCTGTAAACATTATCTTGCAACGTTAGTAAACAGACTTTAAATAACCTTTCTGCTGAGGGCATGAAGCCAAAATAAAAGATCCTTGTGAAATATTACTGTCAGAATCATTATTTTTAGTTAAAGAAGCTTTGGTTATTGCTAATTGTAATTTTTCCTTATTTGTGTGTTTGTGTGGCTTACTAGCCACACTAAAAGTCGGCACCTGAGAAGTTTGCAGTTTGCGAGAACATATGTCACATATTTGTTGGGTAATTTGCAAATTTGCTAGCCATGGTTTCTTACAATGTGTGTTACAATAGTTAACACTAGCATCCCAATCTTGTGGAATCAAGTTCAATTCCAGGATCCATTGGATTTTGTTTTGTTTTTGTTTGTTTGTTGTTGTTTTTCACTGGTCTTTTTCTTTTCTTGTTTAACCCTTTTTCGGTGAAGAAAATCCATGTACTTATTTCAGGTTTGGAACCGATAAGAACACGGTTTAAGATCATTGACCTTGCTGTGTCTCAAATAATTAGTCCCAAATTGCATCTGATGGCATACATGTTGTGTGTTTGTAATTCATAAAAAAGTCTTTGATTTCTCTGAAGATCTTTCACAGCTACCCTGTGAGCAGAGTCGCTTCAATCTTATTCGCGGCCTACTG